ACAGATATTTTCATCCGAATACCATATAGACAAACTAGAATTATGATACAGTTCCTCACATAAATTATACACACGAACGCTGCTTGACAAGTCAAATGTGCGTGAAGTCTGCTTAATCTATGAAAAGCTAGCAAAACAAAAATAAAGCATGGCAGATTTATAAACCATTTCTACCTTGTTTTCTTTATCCGACCATTCTGTCGGATTCCTATGCATATTTGATCTGTTTTCCATTTCTCTATCTTAGTCCGATTCTTTCTTTCTTTCTTTTCTTTCTTTTTCTTTCTTTCTATCTATCCTTGTCTATTCTCATCTCTCTATCTGAGTTTCTTTCTTATATATATATATATATATATATATATATATATATATATATATATATAGATATATATATATATAGATATATAGATAATATTAGTGGAAAATATACATACATATACAAAATATATATAAAATATATAAAAATACCCATACATGTATATTTTCAGAAAAAAAAAGATATAATAAAAAGGCTTAAACACTAATATGACCATGGAATATTAGTGTTTAAAACCTTTTTATATATATATATATATATATATATATATATATATATATATATATAAAGTGCTTAAAGTATCAAGGATAAAGAGTATGTAAATATAAAAGTCGTCATTGAATGTCAAACCCCAGCAGTGGCAATTTGTTTCATGCTTAAATTTAAATGTTGCGGACATGGCTTGAATATAGCGTTTATGCATGAAATAGATTGTCATCGCTGTGTGTTGACCTCAATGTCACACACACACACACACACACACACACACACACACACACACACACACACACACATATGTGTAAACATTGAAGGAAAAATTTAACACGTCATCGAAGAATTCAGTAATAAATTTATTTCAACAGATAAGTTTTTAATGTCTGCCTCATTAGACCGAAATTCCAAATTGGTTTAAATTTATCCAGACAATATATTAAGAATATTTTAAATTTAAATCACAAGAGAACAGTAAGTAAATCTCTAAATAAACTGACGGAAAAATAATTCCTGGGGATTTACATTATTAAAGGGAGGAGTGGGGGGAAAGAAAAAGGAGAAGCAAAGGTGTCAGCATAATGTGCAGGGGTAAGAGAGGAAATACAAATGACATCTAGTCAAATAAATTGAAATTATATCAAAATTTATATCGTTACCACTTAATTTAAGTCAATATAATAATCATCATATATATAAGAAAAAGAGTGAAAACTTAATATAATACATAAAAAAACCCTTGAATTTTTTATACCTATGTCATCTCCATTATATATCGTATTGCTCTGTATATAAATACATTAAGCTCTCTTCATTGCCCTTTCTTTTTAATATTTTATATTAAAATGACCTATTTGGATTATCCTTACCACGTACGGATTTGAAATATATATATATATATATATATATATATATATATATATATATAAAAATCACAAGAAAGAAGGTCGAATGGTACTTTAAATCTGTAAGAATAAAATTCAAATATTAAAAATATGTCTTACACATATTTAAAGGACTTTTTAGAAAATCTTTGTGTATAAAAATATGAATTAAGCTGATGGATAAAAATGACAAATTTTTTTTTGTCATTGAAAACCCAGACAACTCACTGAATAACGGTAGTATACGTTTGTTAGTAGACACCCCCACCGCACCTAAGCTTAACCTGACTTTGTAAGTAACATATATTAGATACATAAGCTGTTTCGGGAAATTAAAACCCAACCACCCCTAAACTAAAATAGATTTTCCTTAACCTTAACAACTCATCAATATTTCTTAGAAAGTTATTCCCAACATCGCTTGACAATGGAACGAGACTATGTATTTTAAGTTTAACTTTTATAATTAACTTTATAATTTTAGTTTCAGTTTTGAAACATGAAATTTTTTTAAAAAGAACATAATTATAATATATATATATATATATGTATAAATATTTATATATATATATATATATATTTATATATCAGTCTATCTCTTTCTCTCTATCTCTCTCTCTCTATATATATATATATATGTGTGTGTGTGTGTGTGTGTGTGTGTGTGTGGTGCAGTTAAATTTATACTACAATGAATCAGTAAATTAGTAAAGTTAATGATGTAAAATGGCGAAATCACTTCGACAACAAAATTTTAAAGATGTATTAACCTTCCAATCACTCGATGAATGTTATGAACCTTGCTTTTTAAAATTATAAGAAAGACCTTATCCAGCTTATAATTTTAAAAAGCAAGAATCATAACATTCATCAAGTGATTAGTAGGTTAATGCATCTTTAAAATTTTGTTAGCGACGAGAGTTCGCCATTTTATATCATTAACTTGACTAATTTACTTTTTTCTATGAATGATTCATTGTAACATATACATATATATATATATATATATATATATGTGTGTGTGTGTGTGTGTGTGTATGTGTGTGTGTGTGTGTGTGTGTGTGTGTCAGATAATATATACTTATTCACATCTGCTTATTCCAGAGGCCAAGACCCACCTATTTCCAGACATGAAGCACACACACACACACACACACACACACACACACACACACACACACACACACACATATATATATATATATATATATATATATATATAGAGAGAGAGAGAGAGAGAGAGTAACTCAAAATGAGCAGTTGTGTATTTGAGGGAGAAAGATGAGCGAGAAAATGAATTAAAAAGAGAGAAAATGAGCAATATGGCTTAAACAAAAGATATATATACAGCGAGAATGATAGAGACGGACAGGCGGGAAAAAGAGAGTGGCAGGAAGAGTAGAAAAGAGAACGCATTATATACAGGCATGTAAAAATCGACGCAGGTTAGGATTATCTTTCTTGTGGGTGTTCAGGTCATTATCTCTTCTGTACTTTTTTTTTTTAATTCCCTCCCGAATATCGACATTTGTCTTTGATTTATACCATTAGAATGAAACAGTCATCCGTTGAAACAGCTATTCGGTGGGAGGAAGGATAAAGATGAGAACAGCACCAACAACAAAAATAAAACAACAACAAAAACAACAGTCATGTTCTTCTGCGATATTTTCCACCTGATTGATTTCGCACCTTCTCTTCCTGGGCATTCTTCCTCCTACTCGCTCTCTCTCTCTCTTTCTCTCGTTCTCTGTTTTATTTACTTTTGTTTTCTTCCCAGATATCTCTTGTTTTCCTATCATCAGCCGCCATTTTGTTTTACCAGCGCATAATTCCTTGTTGCAAACCCATGAGTTTTCCGCCATGTCAAATTTTAGCTGTCTTTTTCCGGATGAGCTCAGATGTTTAGTTTTGCTCGCTTCGTGTATTCCAGATCTCTAAATTGGCAGCGAATAAGACGAAAAAAAAAAAAAAAAAAAACGAGGGGAAAAATATAGTAAGTCGAAAAGAAAATAAAAGAATAATATAAGAGCGGTTTTAAAAATAGGCAGAGAGGGAACAGAAAATCAGAATATTAGAAAACGAGAAAGAAACCAATAAAAGAGGAAGACGTGATTGGAACAATATCAAATAAGAAATGGAGAGAGAATGGTCAAGAAAAAGGAATTGGGAAACTAAAATTGCAAAGAAAAGCAAACTGTAGAGGAGAAAAAACATTAGAGTTAGGGAGAAAGGGCGACGGTGATGGTGGGGATAATAGGAGTGGTGATGGGGAATACGTTACTGTCCGGAAAGTATCCAGCTTTTGAAGGTTAGCCAAATAAATAAATTGCCTACCGACGATAGTGTCGCCTTAGTTCTCTTCAAAGTCGTTGTTGGCGGAGCTCGTTGCCGAGTGGGGTGGGGGGAAGGGTCGTAGACGCTTCCTTCTGCGTGAAATGAGCATATGATCTCAGCTGAAGTTAGTGTACTAACATCAAATGCATCCGCTGCAAAAGACGTCGATAGGCGAATCGAGGCCACCCACGCAGCATACGGGAAAGCTATTCAAAAGAGTCTCCGGCAATTTTGGGCTAACAAAAAACACCAAGCTCATGGTCTACGGAGCTGTTGTAATCTCGACTCTCCTGTACGCCTGTGAAGGCTGGGTACTATGCCGAAGAGACATCCGTAAACTTGAAAGATCCCATAAGATGAAACTTCGTCGAATCCTGCGGGATGCGTGGCAGGACCGGGTCACAAACAGCGTTCTTCGCCGTGCAAAGATGGAAAGCCGAGAAACCATAATGACTCGACAGTCTTTGATGAGACGGAAACCTTTCCAGAATGCCATAAATCCGCCTACCCAAACAAATCCTCTTCTCAAAGCTCGCATCTGGCAAGAGAGCACCTGGAGCTCCAGGTCGTCGAATCATGGATCAGCTCAGAAACACCTTGCTGAGGGCAGAAATCGATCCGGTCAATTGCGAGACGGAAGCAATTGGAGAAGAGCAGTCCATAAAAAAAAAAAACAACCTTAGAAGACACTAGAAGACAAATGGAAGAGATGGAAGGAGCCCAAAGAAAAGCCAGAGCTCTTCATTACCCTGAACCCAACTACCCTATCATGTAGTGGGCTGCGGACGTCTCTTTAGGTCCAATACAGGACTCTCTGCAACGTACTGAAGCAGTTACACTAACATCCATTTAACTCTTTTCAAAATAACCAGCAACGTCTTCTTTCGGGATCGCAATCGGCTGCGGTGTCGCGTTCCCCTTAATCTCATCCATAGTCTGAAATCTGCTCCATTTCAACGGTGATAGTGTGAAATTACAGGACGCCAAATCTGTACTACAGTAGGAGCTAAAACTACTTGGTGATGCGATGCTTTACTCTCCCCGCCACTACAAAAAAAAAAAAAAAATGAAACGTAGAGAATGGGGTGGGGGCGAAATCGGTATTTGTGAATGTCTCGGTTATATCGTATGCAAAGACACTCAGTGGAAGATTGAGACTTCTGTTCTTAAATGCGCAATAAGGTCTATGATTAGTGACAAAGTTTCATCAAGGCTGCGCAGCCGATTATCGAGATATTCAAAACAGCTTCTCATGCAGGCTTCGTATTTCTGGGGGAAGGGAATACAGACGGAAAACGAGGGGGGCATGAGATATTTGGTAATTCCTCAACAGTGCCAGCGGTTAGGGTTCGGGCACAGTTAAAGATAAGCATAAAATGTGTAAAGGGGTGTAAAATGTAAAGAAGTGTAAAGAGGCGTAAAATGGGTAAAAAGGTGTGAAAAGAGTAAAGACGTGTAAAGAGGTTTAAAAAGAGTAAAGAGTTGCAAAAAGTGTAGAGAAGTGTAAAGTGGTGAAAGAAATGTAAAGAGGTGTAAAAAGTGTAAAATGGTATAAAGAGGTGTAAAAAGTGTAAAGTGGTGTAAGGAGGCGTATAAAGTGTGAAGAGGTGTAAAAAGTGTAAAGCGGCAAAAATGTGTGAAGAGGTGTAAAAAGTGTAAAGAGGTGTAAAAAGTATAGAGAAGTGTAAAGAGGTGTAAAACGTGTAAAGCGGTGTAAAAAGGTGTAAAATGTGTAAAGTGGTGTAAAAAGTGTAGAGAAGTGTAAAGAGTTGTAAAAAGTGTAAAGAGGTGTAAAGATGTGTAAAGGGGTGTAAAATGTAAAAAAGTATAAAGAGACGTAAAGAAGTGTAAAGAGGCGTAAAATGTGTAAAAAGGTGTAAAGGTGTATAAAGAGGTGTAAAAAGAGTAAAGAATTGCAAAAAGTGTAGAGAAGTGTAAAGAGGTGCAAGAAATGTAAAGAGGTGTAAAAAGTGTAAAATGGTGTAAAGAGGTGTATAAAGTGTGAAGAGTTGTAAAGATGGGATTTCGGGGAAGGTAATGTGCAAAGAAGCTAAAAACAAGACATTTTCGCAAGAAAAAAGTGTAGAAAATAAGGAGAGAAAGAAAAAGAAAAAATTGTGATAAACAGAGAAAGAAGAACAATCCAAAATAAATAATTAAAAAAACGAAAGAAAAAAGAGCAAGGTTGCAGAAAGTGATAACGAAAGAAAATAAAAAGACCGAAAAAAAGAAAGGATTTTGAAAAGATCGGAACTAAGAGAGATAGAAGGCAAAAGAGAAATAGATTGGAAGAAGGACAACATAGGATGAGGAAAAACCAGAAAGAAAAGAGAGAACGAGAAGTAGCATAAAAGAAAGAAAGAAAGAAAGAAAAAGAACAAAAGAAAGAAAGAAAGAAAGAAAGAAAGAAAAATAAGAAAGAAATGAAAAACAAAGAGAAACAAACAAAACCAAACAAACAAAAATTAATAAATAAATAAAGGAGGAAAAACAAGAAAAAAAGAAAGAAAGAAAGAAAGAAAGAATGAATGAAAGAAAGCGAGAAAGAAACGAAACAGAAAAGAACAGGAAGAAAACAAGAGGAAAGAAAGAAAGAAAAAGCAGGAAAACAATAAGGAAGGAAGAAAGAAAGGAGAAAAACAAGAAAGAAAACAAAGCAAAAAGAAAGAAAAAACAAAAGTAACAAACAAGAAAATTAAGAAAAAGAAACAAACGAAAAGAAAGAAAGAATAGAAAAAGAAAAGAAGGAAAAATAAATAAAGTAAAAACAAGAGAAAAGAAAAGAAAAGAAAAGAAAGAAAGAAAGAAAGAAAGAATGAATGAATGTAAGAAAGAAAGAATGTAAGAAAGAAAGGCAAAACTTAACGGAAGGTAGAAGAAAATAATTGCACACCGCTGAAGTTGTATTACCTAATGCGCCAACGGGGTGAGGTGTAGAGTTGGGGTAGATATAATCTGCAAAGTATTTGAATTATTTGGCCGATTAGACGACAAGTTCTGCAGGGAGAGAAATAATTTCATGAAAATGGCTTTCCCACTTTCTCCTTTAGCGGGCAAAAAGGTTTGATAGGCTTTTCCCACTGATTTATTTCGTTATTTTCAGCCACTCTGTTTCAATGTCAGGTCGGCACCTATGCCTTGCATTTCAAGCTCATATCCCGTGAATCTCTTCAGGGCATTTTAACTGTTGCCATGGAAGCGATGTGGGTAATCAGTGCGTAATTCAGACGCCATTTCTTGGGATCCCATGCAGGAAACTAAGAAGTCTGTCAACGGGGGCAAGTCATTCATTCCACGAAGGCGAAAAAGAGTCAAAGGGGGTAGGGGTCATGTTTTAATTACAATAAAAGAATGAGAGTTTGTTTTATGTAGATAGTTACGATTGTCAGCTCAATCTTGCAGAGAAACACATCTACAAGGAGGAAGATAATCTTGCGTCAAACTTTCCAGTGAAGATATCTTACCTGCCTTTTAAAAAACGTCAACAGATGGAATACTGATATTTTATTTGGGTTCAAACATCGATATTTGCACCGGCCGTGCCTCCGCAAAAATATCGTCAACATTGGCGTATATTATAAGCACCGGTGTATAACATGCACCGGCCTACTCTGACGTATAATACGCACCTATCATTTGGTAAGAAATATTAAGAAAAAGACGATAAACTACATCCGGCAGTAAGGCCTCTGATCAAAAAGGTTTTGTGGAGCGTGAACCCGCCGCTTATCTGCTGGCGTTCCCAGATCCACCCTGACCCGGGACGGTAGCACCTGTTTGTGTCCCAGCTATGGGCAAATAGTTAAACCCCAAACTGGGGTCAAAACACTATGAAAATGTAAAAATAGATTTTAATGCCATCAATACATTGTTATAAAAAATTATTACGAGTAATGAATTTTTGTAGAAAAATTATTACCAGAAATACATTATTACCAGCAATGCTTTTTTGAAGGAAGAAATATTATCAGCAATACATTTTTGAAGGAAAAAATATTACCAGTTACCATTTTTTGAAGGAAAAATTATTACCAGCAATACATTTTTGAGAAAAAAAATATTACCAGCAATACCTTTTTGAAGGAAAAAATATTACCAGTTATCATTTTTGAGAAAAAATATTACCAGAAATAAAACTCTTGTCGGCATTAAATAACACATTGCGATTGATATACCGTAAACAAAACTGTTGTAATGGAATGTCCCACACCCCCTATCGCCTATGTGGACTGACTGTATCAGTAACTATATATAGTGATCACAGGATATACAAGGGGGCATGCTTCCGTCTAGAGTGGGAGATTCGTCTCCAGCTGTACTGGTCAGACACTCTGCCTCCGGGCAGCGAGGATCCCCAGACGAGGCTATGACGAAGCGTAGAGTCTCGTCTCGGGAAACAGCTATCCGACACCGTTTTATACAGGGAATTGTGACCAGAATTATTCGTCCCCACTGAATATTTGCATATTTCCTTCGAAAATATGCAAATATCTGCAATAATAAATATAATTAATTCCGTATTTAGTTTTGAATAATTCGTGAATTTTTTATATTCAGAATTATGGAATTTTCTGAAAATTGGTGCAGTCCAAAATTATTCATTATCCTTATATAAATTATAAAATGTTATTGCTCTATGGCAATTGTAATGTTTTTTTTTTTATTTGACTTTTAATGCAAACACTCTTTGAAAATGATATAGTATTGACCTGATTCTATAACAGTCTAAAAAGTAATTAAGAAGACAATATGTGAATGTCACGTACTGCGGTAAATCATTCGTTCTGCAACCATGGCGAAGACATCTGAACTTGATAAGAAGCTCGAAATGTAGATAGCTGATGCGTACAAAGAAGGTGATGGATTTAAAGCGTTTAAATGTTCCTAGATTGACAATTCGTAGAATTATCAACAAATACAACGTGACTCATTGTGTTGAGAATAAATTAAGGACTGACAGAAAATGGTTAATTTCTGAGAGAATGGAAAGGAACATTATTAGAAATGTATCGAAGAATCCTCATTTAACGCCAAAGGATATTGTCAATGATGTAAAGACATCATGGTTGAATGTATCGAGGAAGACAGCCATTAGAGGATTTCATCAAGCAGGACTTCCAGCTTTGACTCCCAAGGGGGAACTCCCTTGCTTATGGTTAAACACCTAAAATGCAAATTAACTTATGCTAGAAGCCATCTAGAACATGGGAGTAAATATTAGTTTGGTTTGGTTTATTTTGTCTTACGACATATCAACCTCAATGGGTTATTTAATGCCAACAAAATTTGTTATTGCTGGTAATATTTCTTTTCTCAAAAATCTGTTTCTGGTAATATTTTTCCCCCAGAATTACATTGCTGGTAATAATTTCTTTCAAAAACATATTGCTGGTAACAGTTAACTATTTGCCCATAACTGGGACCCTTACAGGTGCTGCCACCGCGGTTCAGGGTGAACCTGGGAACACCGAAAATTAAGAGGTGGTTCCACGCTCCTCAAAACCTCCTGCTCAGAAGCCTTGCTGCTGGACGTAGTTTATTGTCTTACCCAGGACGCAGATGTAGTTTAACTTCTTACCCTGCACGGAGTAAATATTGGAATTCTGTTTTATGGTCAGATGAAACCAAACTAGAATTATTTGGTCACATGAACACCCGTTATGTATAGAAGAAAGTAAATGAAGCTCACAAACCCCAAAATACCCTCCCTACCATCAAGCACGGTGTATATATATAAAGACATTTTTATGTTTAACATTTTTTTATAGATATAAATATTTAAGTAAATGCTCTGTTTATAATAAACAGTATTAATGTCTGAGAGAATTTCACAGAAAATATCCGTCCTCCGACAGGATTCAAACCTGTATCCTATATGGAACCGTCATTTAGTTTCACGTGCCTTTACCGATTTGGCCACGAAGGTGCGTACGGTTAGCAAGGTCGAATTTACTGTATTTGAACTTCAATCTTCTATGAATTTCTCACGTACATTCATGTCTGCTCATGGCGTATCAAATGTAAACAAATGACGTCACACATTATTAAATGAACAAAGTCCGACAATTATTTTAAGACATTTTTATGTTTATACATTCTTTTTATAGATACAAATATTTAAGTAAAAGCTCAGTTTATAATAAACAGTATTAAACAACATTTACCGGCCTGAATGTCCGAGAAATTTTCACAGAAAATATATATATTATATTATAAACAGAGCATTTACTTAAATGTTTGTATCTATAAAAAGAATGTTAAACATAAAAATGTCTGAAAATAATTGTCGGACTTTGTCCATTCCTTCATAGTATATATATATATATATATATATATATATATATATATATATATAGTGCGATGGATAAATGGTCGTCCAGAACATGGAAGTAAATATTGGAACTCTGTTTTATGATCAGATGAAACCAAATTAGAATTATGTGACCATATGAACTTCTGGAAAGTGAATGAAGTTCAGAAACCAAAAAAATACCCTCCCTACAATTAAGCAGGGTAGGTGCATTCTTCTCTGGAGATGTTTTGCTGCATCTGAATCAGCAGAACTAGTGAGAGTACAGGGTATCATAGATAACGATCCTTATTTGGCTATTATGAAAAATAATATAAAACAAAGCGCAGGAATGCTGTCTTTGGACAATATCATGGGTCCTTACCTATAACTACAGAATGAACTCTTTCTAACACTATGTATATTAAGCCTCTCAAGAGAGATGGACGATTCAAGCCGAGCTTCTCGGCTTGACGGTCGAACTCTCTGCCTCTGAGCAGAGAGGAACCCGGACGAGGCTCCGCCGAAGGGCAGAGTCTCGTTCGGGGAGGTTGACCAACTCGATCCCGTTTATACGGTTTCTACGGGCATTTTTTTTTGGCCGAGCCTACGGACTCGGGAAACCCACGTTAAACGTAGCCTTGTGCCACATGCAACCCTCGTTGAGGGGGTGGCTAGATACCGAATCGAGTCGAACCGATAGTAGTTCACTCCAAACCAGACTGACAGTCATACTAACACCTTCCACATCTTATATTATTATTTCGTGTAATATACCTTCGTTATTTCTACTCTTGTGTTCATGTTGTTCTTCCTTGGTCCTAACCTGGACCTTAACAGACAATATAACAAATGACCCGAAACACACGGCACGAATTGTTAGATGTCTGCACAATTAAGGTATTGGCATTCCCCGCACAGAGTCCCGACCTAAACCCCATTGATAATTTATGGACATATTTGGAGAAAAAGTAAGAGAAAAAAGTCCTTCGAATTTGAAGGAACTAGAAGCCGTTGCCATGGAAGAATAGAGCGAAATACCTATCAGTGTGTGTAAGGAACTATGAAAAATGATTAAAGCAATAAATGAAGAATAAAAGTTACATGATTGATTATTGAGGCAAAAGGGCCAATAATTTTGTCCTATGGTAAATGTTTTTGTTGTTTTTTGGGGGGTGTTTTTGTTTTGTATTATTGTTTGACATTCAAATAAAAAAAATGTTGTGGGAATCACTGCACCTTCTTTAAAATTCCATTATTTCATCATTTGTGAAAAAATGTACATGAATTTTCCATGAAAATTTATGGCATTGCAGCTTTATTTATAATTATGGAGGTGGGCGTTATTATAATTCTGTTCACAACTGTATTGATCAAATATAGTTTTAAGGCATGTTATATTTATTGGTTTAAGTGCTGAATATCAGTGATAAAGCTTATGTAAATTTAAAAGTGGATATTGAAGTCAACACCCATCGGAGACAGTCTGTTTCATGATGATGCTCAGGCCACACACACACACACACACACACACACACACACACACACACACATATATATATATAAAGACATTTTTATGTTTATACATTCTTTTTATAGATACAAATATTTAAGTAAATGCTTTGTATTATGATGACGGTTCTGTATAGGATACAGGCTCGAATCCTGTCGAAGGACGAATATTTTCTATGAAAATTTCACGGACATTCAGGTCGGTAAATGTTAATAATACTGTTTATTATAATAGAATAAAATAATTGTCGGACTTTGTCCATTTCATAATGTGTGACGTCATTTGATTACATTTGGATACGCTTTGAGCAGATATGAATGTACGTGAGAGATTCATGGAAGATTGAAGTTTAAAAGCAGTAAAATCGATCTTGCTAATCGAACGATTCTCCGTGGCTCGATCGGTTAAGTCACGTCAGGCTAAATCTCTTAAAATAATTGTCGGACTTTTTCCATTTCATTATATATATATATATATATATATATATAT